AGATCTTCATACCGTTACATAAATTATCCCGTTATTATGACGAAACGAAAGATGTCGGTGACGCTTTGCAAGGAGCTACTTATACAATGATAAAAAAAAAAGACGGCCGTCCTGGAAATAAGAACTGTGGTTTCGCCTTACGTAACGCGCGTCATTAAATCGATAAGAAAATCATCCCGCTCTTGCCTCCATTAGATTACGATCATCGGTGCGCACAGCGGAATAATTATCGACATCGCGCTTTTACGTTCACCGGAGGAATACGCGCGTTGCTTCGCCAGGCGAAGATAATCGCGAATACTAATGGAAACGAAATTATCCAGTCTGGAATTTAACGATCAGGTAGCATCGGCAATACCAATTCCCCTCGGGATTCGTGTTGACTTCTTGATTAATTAGGTTATTAAATAGATAAGTAGATCGTGATTAATGCGATTTACTTGACAATCGTCGGAGGAGAATCATGATACTCAGATTGCAGTCGCACAATCTGAAAGCAAGACGAGAGCTGTCCATTGATGATTGAGAAAAAAGAACCACGCGCTACTCACGTTGTCATTCAACAATTATAGCATTATGTATTTGTATTTAATTATATTTTCTAATTATTATAGTTGCCGCAATAATTTGAATAATGATTTTGTGGTTGCTATAATAATTCAACTGTAATAGCTTACGTGGTAAACCAAAGGAAGATATTTTTAAATGATTAGATTATTGGGTAGATAATTAAAATTGCAATTAATACCGTCTGTCTAGCAACGGGCGCTCAAGCTGTAACTGTTCATACTTAATTGTAACCTTCAACTCCACTCTATTTTTTTATTTACATATGTGCAGCCACGACTTCTATATCCATAACATTATGAAAACGGAGCGAGCACGGGGACGCTATTTTCGACCACGCGGTATATAACATTCGCTAAAAGCGAACGGCGCACGACTAGGCGTGGTCCATGCAAACTGGCGATCTCTTTTTTTTCTTCTTATCCTCTCACTCCATTTATATGTGTTCCGTGCTGTACCCATTGCGCCGCCTCGATACCTACATTGATACGTGAAATACTTATACATTTAATAAGCGTATAAACTTGGAATCGTGTACCTGATGACGATAATGCACAAAATAAGAGTTTACGAATTGAAAGGCTACAGAGACTCCGGTCTGGATTTTAGATTGGAATATTTTTGCCTTAATGTTTAATTGCCATCGTCTCTTTGTTAATTTTATCAGTGTCACCGTTATGTTAAAAGCTGTGAGATTCATAAGATTATTTCAAATAAATTTTCCCTGTCGCGTATACACAGGTTGGGGCAGTAACTTCGTCCACCTCGAATATCTTCGCTAGTTTTAGAGATATGAAAAAAATTATAATTACGAAAGTTGCACTATATTAAGGGAGCGATAACATATTAATAATATTTTTTCAAAAAGTCGAGGCGCTTCGGAGATTTCAAAGTTACCTTTATTTTTTTTAATGACATGCTATACTTTTGTATCTTTGGTGCAATAGCGTGTGTTGAGACGATTTCAACGACCTGCAACAAAAGGTCGTTCGGCATTAAATAAAGGAGTAAAATAATGATCCTTGCCTCACAAGAGACGTGCGAAGTGATGTATCCGTTTACGTCGATGCAACGCCGCAGTCTTTGAATTCCTGGAGCATCGTACACTCGTTAATACTTCCGGACTTATTTTCGCACATGCTGCAATAATCCTTCACACCGTATGTTTCAACTCTGATTGTGTGAAAAACTTCAGAGAAACCAGCAGCCTTGCTACACGAGCACGCGAACGTCGAAAAAGAGCGCACGGTTTTCAAAATCCGCGCCGTGTGATTCGTGACGAAGGCAAACGTGATACGGACGGAATTTATAATTTCGAGGAGCTCACAACACACTCCTTTGACTAATGCCTGATTCACGTTCTATCTGTCGAGAACTAATCTGAGGATTACTACACACTCTTGCGAGCACATTAATTTTGTTGTTTTCATGACGCACTCTTTTTCGACGTTCGCGTGTTCGTGTAGTAAGGCTGCCGGTTTCTCTACATTTTCCACACAATCGTTGAAACATACGGTGTGAAGGATTATTGCAGCATGTCGGAAAGTCAGTCCGGAAATGTTAAGAAGTGTGTACGTGCTTCAGAAATTCAAAGATTGCGGCGTTGCATCGATTTAAACGGACGTCACTTCGAACATCTCTCGTGAGGTAAGGATCAGTTTACTCCTTTATTTAATGCCGAACGACCTTTTGTTATAGATCGTTGAAATCGTCTCAACATACGCTACTGCACTAGAGATAAAAAAGTACAGCATGCCGTTGAAAAAAATAGAGGCAACCTTGAAATCTCCGAAGCGCCTTCACTTTTTGAAAAAATACTACTAATATGTCATGGCTCCTTTGATATAGCACAACTTTCGTGATTATAATTTTTTCATATCTCCAAAAATAGCGAAGATATTCGAGATGGACGAAGTTGCTTCACCTTAATATATGCATATAAGCATATTTCTGTCATGAAAATTGTTATATAAAACTGAGTATGAAGAAAGCAAGAAGTTCGTGCGCATCGAATCAGTACCGTTCGCTTGAACTTCAATCGCATTATACGTTGAAGTCTACGTGCACGTTCATTGATTGATAGCTAATGATAATGAATGATCAACGACCCTACTGTCTTAATGTGCGAAATTCAATCGAGTAAATTAATGTAGACATGATAAGCATCTATAATTAACGGAATGAAAGATGATGAAAATTCCTGACTTAATAGTTTTTATATTCGATTTCATGGAAATTTATGCCCATCTTTCTCGAATAAAACGCGCATTAAAGAGTAATAAACTTGCGAAATAGGCGTTAGGTGTATTAATGCTTAGAAATTAAACTTGACCTCGAAAAAAAAGCTAGTAAAAACGTAAGAAACATCTTTGTGAAAGATTTATCACATCGTTATGTAAGAGATTCCTTGTTAAGGATTTATCATATTTTCATAAAATCGCATCCTTAAGTTACAAAAGAATAATAATTAATATCACGCAATCATTCTATTAAATCACTATTATAAAATAGTGTTATACTCTTCTAAACACATTTAATACACATTCAAACTTTGAAACATTGGCAGAGTCTTCTTCACGGTTTTGCGTCTTGTTAATCAATTTCAACGCAGGTATTAACCAGTGCAATCGAACTTCTCTAAATACGGGGTCGAAAGACGTATGCTAATCTGAGAATTTCTTACTTTTAATGCATTCTTTGATCGGAGAGACGATTATTCCCGTCACGAACTCGTTTCGACGGCTTTTACGGTGAGAGAGTCGGCGAAAGCGTCTAAAATCCTCTTGGCAATCGTATTATTATAGGCAAATGCAAAACGAATAGCTGGAATCTGGACATCCGAGCACGATTGAGAGGGAAAGACGAATGACTCAACACATTGACAAGGCGCAGACTATTTCTAGTTTCTCTTTTATTATGCGATATCGTGCTCTCATTTGTCATCATGCATCGATTCTAATTATTCGAATGTACCAATAAGGAATATGTTACAGGGTTGCGAGATATTTTTTATTTTATAACAGTATATCCTAGATGACTATACTTCATTTTTAATTGGTGACAAATTTGATATCGAGTTTTACTTGAAAAATATTCAAAGGATTATCATTATTTGACAATTCGTTAATGCGTCCGTTCACCATGAAATGTTCGAATAATTTCATTGTGATTAAAATTCAAGGAAAATAAATTCCGAATTTTAAATTCACGTAATAGATTTTTGTCTCTTAATTGCACTTCTTGGAAGTTTTTGTTCACCCGAATCGTCCATAACGCGAAAACTATTGACACTTTTAATAAGAAAGTTACAAATTGATCAAGGAACCTGCCATCAAAGTGAAACCTAGTATATCCTGTGCACAATTAGAACAATAAGACGACGCTACGTACAAATTAAATCGCAACGTAACGCGTATTCTAATTTATTCGAATAAGCAGCGAAGTGTCGTTGCCGTGAATCACACGCGAGGATTTTCTTTTTCGTTGTTATACAAGTAATCGTCGTGTAAAGGAACTGCTTCCTTTCTCGGACTCTAATTACCGAGCATCGTGCACCGCATGCAACTTCACCTGTGCGATTTAGTCGAATAATACGAATTGACTCGTTCCGCTGGGTCGATGGCCTTCGTGGATAAAAAGGAAGGAAAAAAAGGGAAAGAAAATCAACGCGTTGCAATGTCGTAAACGCCCGGCATCAAACGCGCATCCTTGACACAAAACGCGTGCAAAACGGATCTTGCCGGTCTTCATGTCTATTTCGTGTGCATTAATTTGATAGATAATTGCGCTCCTGTAAATCCCTGGTGTTTTTAATTTGCGTCCTCAGCGTCTTCACGTCGCGTTACGCAACGCTTTTCACGTAACGCAGGGCGTTGGAAACTTAAGCTCATATCGTATATCTTTCGATGTGTGCGGAATGATATCCGCACCACTCTAATTAATGAGTGCACACGAATAAATAATTTTTTCTCCCTTCCGGATAATTTTAGCGCGAAAAAAATATCCCGCCGTAATTTTGTATTATGTCAGCATTAGGTGTACTTCTGAAACGATTATTTATTTACACTCTCTGAAAGTCAATCGGTGGATTATCACGGAAAACGGTGAATACTCATTGACTCACAGTTATACAGTGTATAGCACTGAATAATTCATGCAACTGTTTTCGGTGATAACGCACCGATTGACTTTTAGGTCGATATTTATAGTCAAATCTTATATTCAAGACCGTCCTGAGATCAGCTTTAGATACTCCATAGCCAATGAAATGTTCCATGCAGTATCTTTAGATAAATTCGAGACGGTCTTGAATGTAAGATCTGACTATGAATACCCTAGAGAGTGCGCGTCAACTAAGAAGAGGATTATCTTTTATATCTGTTACGTGTCGTCGCTCACATAAATTATACATATACATTTCGATAATTAATTACCTGATTAGTCTGCCCGCGAGAAGCTTCGGTAATAGCGAAGATCAGCAGCAACGCCACCACCAAGCTCAACGAAAACGTCCTGGCCATTCTGAAAAATAGCAAGAAGCTCCTTTGAACAAAACACTAAAGAACTCTGGGGTGATGGCGGATATATTAAAAAATTGCAACGCACGTTATAATAAAGATCCCTCCTAATTAAGTGATCGGCTGATGCGAGAATTATAATTGTTCTAATGATCGTCGTTATGTTATTATGCTTGTACTCATTATTTCTTCCGAATGTCAAATTCATTAAGTTTAGAACGCTTTAGATGGTTGCGCAAACTCTACGTATGTAACCGGCCGTCTCGTTGCTTCAATCAAATTTAATAAAATCGAAACTTTACTTTTAATAAATGTACGCTGATTAAAAGCGATATATTTTCGACGGGTTTACCTTTTGTCGGAAATGTTACGCGAAAATAAATGCCAGCAACGACGTGACATTTCAACGTGTCCTTCATTGTATCACGGTATTATAACCGTTAGACGTGCACGTACCGAAAAGTTGCAATCATTGAAAACCAAGGCAATGCTCCAAAAAATCACAGTCCAGAAATGTGACAGGTGAGACAATATTTCGAACAGTCGCGATCTCGGAACTTACAAAGTGTCGACACTTCGAACGATCCCAAAGTATCAGAAATGAGAGAACGTCCCGAGAAGCCATAATTCCGAAGTATAGGAAATAAGGCAACGTCCCAAAAGAATTACGGCCCGAAGCGAAATGCGACCGATTTCGCGACTTTGTCTTCGAATACTTCGATTCCGATGTAACCTGAGAACGTGTTACTTTCCAACGTGCACACCGTGTGTACCCGAGTCGACGCGATACGCGCACAGGCCAAATGTAAGACCTGGCATTACCTGCGCTGTTCAAATTTACTTTTACTCTTGCCGGTTGTTAGCCTCTATCGGCCACGCTGTTTATTTTCGAAGCAGCGCGGGCAATACTGTCCCTCCCCCGTTGCAAGCGTTCTGGCCCGTCCGGTTTTAATACAAAATATGCATATAACAATCGTGGCAAAGAAACGAAAGAATGCGTTCATTCCGAATTACATAAAAGCTATCGGTTCTCCGTTTAAAATATCGTTCCACGTGAAATTTCTGCGCGTACATGAACATGAGCGGATTTAATTCAAAATGTCAATAGTTGTTTCGAGAGCATCTGCGAGCAGTTCTAAGAAATGCGTTATTAGAATCTCCTGAAATGAAACTCCACGCGATACGACATGTGAAATATCAATTTGAAATTAAAAGTTGCTAGATTCACATACATGAATTATAATCGAGAATTGTCTCTACAAATTCTATTTTCCAAATTATTATATCACTGTAAATATAAATACCAAATAATTTTATTTAAAATCTTGGAATTTTGGATAGGAAATTTTCGTCGCCTCTTACGCTTTTTTCGGATATATTTCAAAGGGAAAGAGACGCGTGCGAGAGACGCCAGGGCAAAGTCGCTAGGACACGCTAGTTGATTGATATTTTCAGTGTTCACATTGTTCATCTTGAATTGTCCAACGTGACTGTAAAGATTTGTAACGTATTTATTACGAGGAAAGTGAAATTGTATTGTATAACGACTGTTCTCTCGTACACGTTGATCGCGCATGAATGAATGGAAGCATCGTGGGAGGATCGAGAGGGGAAGATCGATATCAAGGAAGGATTCGACGATCATAGTGCATGAATTACCGTCGCTCCGATACATCTAACGATACTTACATCTGTTCCATTCATTTCTACGATAATGCACGGCGAACGCGAGACGATCGCCGGTTCCCGTCTGTCGGCGAGATATTCGCCGATCGCAAAGTAGCACGTTAAAACTGATCTGGCGAATTTCCCCCTCCCGGACACCCGTTACGCGACGAATAATTTTACGAAGACAAATATTTGCGGTCGCGTGTTTCCTCTTTCCCTTTTTTTTTACGTGAGGGCAGAGAAGCGGCAAGTTTACATGCTAGAACTAAGTGATGTGGGTTTCGTAACCGAAGTGTATCAGCTTTAATTTCTCGCAGGCCGTTCGTACTTGCGCCGATAGAAAGTAAATTCTTTTCGTGCGGCATACGCGATCGGCGATACTGTATCGGACTGTTTCAGGAATGCTATTTTGTAACACGCACAACGCACAGAGAGAACGCGACTAATTCGTCAGCGTTCGTACGCTCGAAATTGTATTGTCGTAGCTTCAGATCGGAGTCAATTCAAATTAGGCAAATCTCCAAGATATCTTTCAGCTTCGTGTATTCGCGTGTGGCAAGTAAATATGTAACAGACGTGTAAGACGCACGGTACCGGCCACAATTATATCGCCTTCAGATTTACTTTCGTCGAAGTGCATCGAACGCTTTCAAAATTTTTTAGTAGACACCTGACAACAGGTGCGTCTCGTACACTAGGACCTCACCTTTCCACATGAATTTGTGCGTCACATTTATACATTTTGCGTATACATACATGGAAAATGTACATGCGTTCCACCTGTGCCCGAATTCACACGGGAAGTGATTTCTACACTGAAAAATATTTCTGGTTGAATATGGACGAATCAGATAATTCCTTTAGGATTTACCAGAATTCCTTTAGGATTTACCAGAATTCCTGTAATCCTACAGAAATTCTGGTAAATCCTAAAGGAATTATCTGATTCGTCCATATTCAACCAGAAATTTTTTTCAGTGTAGCGTACACAAGAGTAACGAAATTTGACAGAGTACACCACGATTTTCGAATCTCTCATTCGTGCACTTTAAAACCAGTTCTGCTCGAGAAATCGAAAGGCGATATACATTTGGCCGGTGCAGTATACGTGAAACGCTAAGGCCCGGTCTACAATGAGTCGTTAGTCGTTAGTCAGAAGTCGCAACTGTATGTTGATCCTTTTCCTTTCTGGGTGGAAGAAAAAGGACCGACATATAGTTCCGACTTCTGACTAACAACTCATTCTAGACCGGGCGTAAAAGACACATTAGATATTTGCTCCAATTCAAACCCGGCAAAAGCTTGCTCTACCACGAAACAAAAGCGGCGATTTAATCGAAGGCTTCCTATCGCGCGCCGCGCCGTGAAAATGTAATAATTCGAACGCGTTCGAGATTCGAGATCAAATACGCGGCGCGAGTTACAAAAGAGCGTAGGCGCACTGAGCGCGAATTACGAAAATACGTACATTCAATTACCCTCGTTTTCTTTACGGTGCACTTTGCGAGCTAATAAAATCATCGTATGCTAGAGCGCGGGCCGCTAATAACCTAATGCCCGAAGCCGTTGGAGCGTCCGCCGCGTGTCCGATCGTAAAAGATGAAATGTCATCGAGTGAAATTGCGGCAAAAACGTCACGTTCGGCGGAAATGCGAAGTTTTCGACATTTGCACGGTCGTTCGGTTGCGATTACACGGGCACCCGAGTTTTACGTAAGAAAACGGAGGTCGTACATCTGGCCGTTTGCGCACGTGAAAGTGGTCTGCCGAGTTGTATCAGTCGTGGTCAGTTAATTCCGAGTCCGGTTCGTTAATGCTGCGCGCTCTTCTGGGCCACTTCTTGCGATCCATTAGAGCCCGTTACGACGAGACCCTCCAAAGACGGTCCCCACGTTTGCGCAAACGGGCGAATCGCAAGGACAAGGACCGTCGCGATTAACGACGAATCGTCAGCGCGCGGACATATGCTCGCGGACGTAATCGGGGAACAAGACTCTCGATTATCGCCTCGTTCCCGCAGCGATAGATCAGCAGTAAAGGTCAAAGTAAACGGTCGTCGATTAAATCCGCGCGTCGATCCTAGTAGCACAGTGCGCTGGCCAAACCTTGGCCCGGTGCAACCGAACAAGGGGCCGGTGTTTAACCAACGTTTGGTCGATGCACCGTGCTACCAGGAGCCATGCGGAAGTTCCGCACGTGGCGCTTGTACAGGACAGCGCGCGATTCCAAGCCACGCTCACCTTGCAGCTGCTCAGTCGTGTCTAATCCTATGTCTCATTTCCGAGCCACCACAGCACAATTCGCCCCGGCAATCCGTAATACTTTCTCCGACGGCGGATCCAAAGCCGGAGGAGAAACTTGGGCAAATTGGAGAAATGAATGAATCGGCGCGGCGTTCCCGAACGGGAGCGCGACACTTGCTCGAACGGAACTCCGAAAAACGGCGGCGGTGCACGCGGACGGAAAACTCGCGGTCTCGCGCGGCACTCCGTGAAGAAAAGAGGGGAAAAAAAATAGAGAGGAGAGAGGAGAGAAGAGGGATCCTCCGGTCCGAAGTCACCAAAGTTCGCGCGAGACGATTCGGCTGGTCAGGTGGGACGATGCACGTGGCGCATCTTCGGACGCGCCGATTTTTCGCGCGTTCGCTCTCGCACGTGGACGCACGGGGACGGCGGCGGTCGGATAGAACGCTCCGAGACAAATGCAAGTCCGAACGAAACCGTCGGCCGTGTCAAAAAGCCCGGTCGCCAGCCGAGGGGGGAAAAAGAGGGAAAAAAAAGAGCCACTCGACCAGACATTTTCCCTTTCGCCCGAACGCGGGACCACCACCACGCGATCGCTACCATCAGCCACCGTCACCACCATCGCCGCCGCCACCACCACCGCCACCATCGGCCACCACCGCCGTCGCCGCTGCCTATCGCCATTGCCATCACCATCGCCGCTGCTATCGTTACCGTCGCCAATGCGAAAAATAGCAAATGACCATTGCAGGACGATCGACGAGAGCGAGATTGCACGGGACGCGCGATCCTCCGCGACCGGGAAACCGTGAATGGTCGTCGCCTAAAGAGAACCAAAAGTCAGGATGATGTCAGTTTGATGTCATATTTATGCCAAATTTTGGTCAATTTGATGCCATATTGACCAAAATTTGTCATAAATTTGGTCAATACGACATCAAATTGACATCATCCTGACTTTTTGTTCTCCTTGGGATTATTACAGATTACATGATCAGTTATATATTATGTTTATCTTACATTACTTCAATTTTATGTTTAACGTATAATATTTAATTAACTTTGCTTTGTAAAACAAGATCATCTTTGCAACATTTTGATGTCACTTAATGATGTCACAAATAGGTGCTGTCGGTGGGCTATTTTGACGTCGCCCATGATGCATAAAAAAATGATCAAAAAATGATGTCATCTTGATGTTTCCATGACTGATATGTTCTACTTGGGTGGCACAATATATTGGCGCAATTATTGGGAACTGATGTAAATCTATAGTGTTCCCAATATCCCAGGTAGAACACAAAATCATAAAAATCATTATGACGTCATTCGATACACTTTTTATGATGATTTTGTGATAAATTCTTGATGTAGAAATGATTTTTAAGTGATTTCTATAGTGATTTCTAGTTAAAAATCACTTAAAAATCATTTCTACATCAAGAATTTATCACAAAATCATCATAAAAAGTGTATCGAATGACGTCATAATGATTTTT